GAGTCTTAAGTGGCATATCCAAAAAATATCCCTCAAATCCGTAAGCCATAGATCCGTGTCAATGAAATTAAAACAGTGGTCTGTTGGTACTACTTTCTTCATAATAATAAAAAAAAAAAAAAACCAAACAACTCTAAAAAAAATTTTTTTCTGCTTTAAGGCATCTGTTGAAAGTGTTTAGGTCTGGCCAAAATGAGGCATTTCTGAAATGCCTGTTAGGTCACTGCAAGACAAAGGCAGGGACAAACAGGAAAAAGGTAGGGAAAACCAACCAGTAGAGGGAATAAAGCAAATAGATTTTAGATTTTCTTCTGTTTGTAATTCAGGATTTTAGTCTCACATGGTACTTTTGCAAACCTTTTTCGTGGTAGATGTTACCTCAGGTTGTTAAATTCAGAGGTAATTTCCCAAATAAACCATTTTATAAGCTAGTCAACACACAACATCCATCAGTCAACAAGCAGCATTTTCATTACATGGGTCACTTCATAGAATTGAGACGCAAAAGAGTTATTCAAGGCCTTCTGGTATAGAAAGGCATGAATTCACTGAAGTGTCAGTTGGAATGATTTGTGGTACATCAGAAAGATAAGAGGTTCAGAATGTTTAATTTTGATCTTTGAAAAGGTCTTTGGATTTGCTCTCAGATGTTGAGGTTTGATGCCTTTTTGTTTACGTGAAGCATAGGCAGTGGAAGCCATTTATGGTTCAACAGAGAAAAAGGGCAGTAAGATCAGTTTCAGAGAGAGACTGATGTATCATTCAGGATCATTTAACTTTAAAAAGTTTCTGTTGGCTAGTTAAACATAGTTCTAATAATCAAACCCTCAGCATGAACTCAGATAATTTATCTGTATTGTTCTTATATATATATATACACACACGTGGGTGTATATACACACATATGCTTGGTATACCCTCATTCCTTTCCAGTACTGTTCCTTTATTAAATTTGCTTTCTGCTCATATCAAATGGTAGTCAAATACACACCTTCAAGAAGGTCAGCTAATTTTACTATTTAGGTTTCAATCAGTAAGATAAAGCTATTAAAAAATGAGGTAATAAATCAACTGAAAATACTTGAATGCTCTCATGTTTTCAAGGCTACAAGTGACATTTGCAGACAGCTTTCATTTCTGTTTCAGTTTGCTGGGGAAATGCACCCATTCCTCTCACTGCAGGTGTTAAGAATTTCAACCACTACTATATAAAGTTATTATTTTAGTATCTATTTTTGAGTCCAGCCATGCCAAGAGGTACTTATCTTTTGTAATGCCAGTGAGATGATTGAAGAAACTGAAAACAGATTCCCTTTTAAATTTCATGAAGGAAGTGGAAACAGGACTATATCTATCTCAGGTTATCATATTAACATTTCACTTATGGAATAAAAATCTTGCTGGGTGCATTCAAAATCCACAGGATGTCTTGAGTGCTAAAGTTTTCAAGAGGATCTGTACATTAGCAAATAAATAGGTAACGTAAGAATACAAGTATGACAACAGATGTAACAGCTAGTAACAGATAAAGACTGAGGCTACTTCACCCAAGAGTACGAAGAAAAACTGATTTGGCTTTAAAAGACTTTCAGACAACAGTAGTTTGTTCATCACTGTACCAAAAGTGGAGAAAAACAAAGAGGTGGGGGAGTTCTCTGATCTAACTGCAACCGTATAAGATACGCAAAATTAAGCTGAGAGGCATGAGGGACAAAATGGTAATTTTCTAAAATAACTGGAGTCTAGCAGAATTCAAGTTACATATCATCTGCTGCAAATAAATACTACTGTCTTAATTATTTCCACTACAGTAATTACTGTACACTTCTACATACCAAAGTTAACAGCATCAACTTCACGATAATCACACCAATGTTCTCACCAGCCCTTCCCATGAAAACCTGTGACTTACTGTTGCTGTCACGGCACTGAGTGTCCAAACCCCTGCTGCTGAAGTAGCTAGAACTGGTATAACGGACAACAAGATACAACCAATATAAAAGACAAGTTCTGGTGTAAGAGACAATTTGTAAAAGATGTAGTGAGCTGAGTGAAGGAAGGAATATCCTCCCTACCCATCACCAACTATACACTTCACACATCCTGGTGTCAGAGGAAGAATGCCTGGGCTTACCCTCAGAGCAATCAAAGGCATTTAAAAAAAGAAAGGAGAAAAAAAAAAAAGTGTGGGTGTCTGCTGTTGGCAGAAGTACAGTCAGAGGGAATGCTGAAGGAGTGAATGAGTAAGATTTTTAGCACAAAATCCATGCTAAAATCAGAGTTCTCAACAAAAAGTACATCAGCTCTTCCATTCTTTTCCTGCAATTTCTCTCAGTGCCAATTTGTTTTCTTCTCCACCACTTCCAGGTCACTGAGAAAGTATTGGTTGATTATCAATAAATGACAGTCAAAACATAAAAAGTTTTGCTTTCTGTTTCTGTGACCCTCTTTCTCCTTCCCAAAAGACAACCGTATGGCAGCATAAAAGCATCAAATACCATTTTTTTACTTTCTTTGGGATTTATCAAATGAGTGTTCAGTTGTAGAAAAGGCAGTTTAGTCAATCTGTTCTTTCTGGAATTCACATAGCTTTACATTTCCTTAAGGATTTCTCCACATAGCAAATGTCTTCCATTTTCCTGTTCCTGAAATGCATTGCTGTGTCCATATTCCTTCTGTTTCTCATTGAACTGTTTTCCCCTCTACTGTACAATATCTTCAGCACATTCACCCACATTCTTTCCAAACTGCTATTGATTTGTCTTTATCATTTCTCACCCACAAGCTTTCTCTTTGTTCAGTCCCTGTACTCTGGTTCTCACATGCTTCCTTCCCTGTAAACATTTCCCTAAAAATCAGATTTAAAATCCAGTTTCTCAGCTAGGCCCAGAGTATTATGCAGAACTTTCAAGACCAAACAGATCAAGTGTTCTATGATCTGCATTTTCTCACTTTAACAGAGCTATTCCTTATTAGACTAGGCTTGTTTCCATGCACTACATTTTGTCCAGCACAAAACCCAAAACATTCCCAGGTTGATCAATAGCCTCAGTTGCTAGCAGATATTTCACATCAACGTTCATTAAATGTTCTGAAACACAACATCAGCCAAAATGCATTGGCTTGAGCAGTTCACAAGCTTCTGTGGTGACAGCAAAGCTTTCTCATACAAAAGCTTTCACTGTATCCATACAGCCACAAAGCATCTTCCATCTGCATTTTAGTTCCCAATTTATTAAAATTCCAGCTTTTTCTTCTTAATGAGGGAGATGTCGGCAGACATCCACAAGCTCAGAAACACCCATGAAGACTAATGGGACTACGTGGAACATGATCCCCAGAAAATTCTTCCACTGCAAAACCCTAGAGCCACTCCTCACACATCATGTCTCACAACGCTCCCTTAAGCTTTCTAACAGAGTCTGCCATCTCACACATCACAAGGGTTTGAAAAAACCCTTGAACTGTTTGAAAAGCAGTTTTTCAAAGCGTGCAGCCTGACCAGCCTTGCATAGCCACAATGGAAGGGAACTCATTTTTCTCCACCAGTGGATATCCTCAGCCATGGGGTAGACTACAAAGCATTAAACGTAATGCCAGTTCTGCCAGCAAGCAAGCAGATAGAAAAGAAAAATTGCTGTATCGAGACCACCGTCCAACCACTTCATGCACGAAGTAACTACCTGATAAATATCTCCATCTGCTTCAAAACCAAGGTAAACACATTCAAAGAAATTTTAAAGTGTAAGAAGAGGAGCTTTATTTACCCACTTCCCCTGAGAAGAAGTGATCCCTTCATCAGAAACTGAACTCAAATTGTTGTTGTAATCTATTAAGCATTCCTTGTTCTTCAAAAACAAAGCTGCTGCACATAAATGACACAGCTTGTCAACCACGTAGCAGCATGATATATTTCAGTAGCTTGCGGGTTTTCTCAGACGTTCAATTTTTTCCACCTCACAGCATTAAATTTAATTACATAACAATGAACTTCTGCCCTTACGTAATTTGTTGGCCTGAAGTTACTGTAGCTATCTGCTGGGTACAATGAAATTTTACAAATGCTTTTGAAAAGATAAAATGTGCCATACAACAGTATTAGACCTTAGGGAAAAAAAAGGTCTTCAATTTTGCCACATCAGTATACAAACTGATAAAAAGGAAGAACCTTTGAGGAAAGCTGTGCTTGCTGACGCAGCACAAATTACTGAAAACAACCACTTCTTGTATTGTTCAGACAAACAATTCTGCATAATTTTCATTATTTTTCAAGTTTCGCAACTACAGTATCTTAAACGAGAACAAACAGATTGTTCCCTTGAAGCCTCTACAGTCAAGTTTCAGATTTAACTATCTTTTTTTCTTTTTTAAACTCTCCACAGAGAAGAAAATAGAAAAAAAACACCTCATGTTTTCAACAGTACTTAAAAGCAAAAGTAAGCACAATGAGCTTTTAGTCTCCTTGACTGACTTTTCAGAGTATTAGAAATACTGAAAGACAGAAACTAATACCTTACATTTCAGTAACATTCACATAGATATCCATTGGTGGAATAATAAACAATTTACAAGAATCGGAATGTAACAAGCCACTTCATTTTTCAGATAGAGTCAAAAAAATCCTGCAGTTCATTTAGATTTTCATGTCATAGTCAGCACAGACCAGAGGAGAAAAGCTTGTAGTCGATACAGCAAAGTTTTCAGCAATACAAATAAACCACTAACTTGAAACAATGTTGACCTCTAACCACTTAGCAATCCCACCTCAAAGCATATTGATTTGACTTTGTGCTGCCATCCAGCTGAAGAAAAAGCACTTGTGGCACTATTAAGCTACCAATCTTACCTCCATACTTATTGCTTAATGTAAGAAAATGAGTTAGAATTGCTCTAAAATCTCCAACTAGGGAAAAAATCCTGAAATGTCAGTAAATAAAAATTTATTTTACACCCTGAAGCGCATTTATGCGGAAAGTTGACAACGTCACGGCGATGCTTACCCGATCATGGCGTTTTCTTTGACCTGCCCCTCTGTGCCATTTACCATCGGCTCTTGATTTCTGTTTTCCTTCTCTGAAGCATCTCTTGGGAGGCCCAGTAAAGCTTGTACTCGTTTTGACTTCACATCCAATATCGTGTCAGTGTAGCCCACTTCTTGCAGATACCTGTATGAACAGAACTCATGCTAATCTTCCATGAACATCTCACTTATTCAAACCAGTAAATGGGAACTTCTCCCTAAGCTCATCTTCAACCCCTTCGTTTAGCAAAGTATGGTGCTGTGCTAATGAAACATCCCTATAAATCATCCTGTACCAGCTGCAGAGGGATCGTCTCTTGCAGTACCAGCCTCTACAGTCACTGAGAAAAAAAAAAAAGAAAAAAATCAAAGAGCCTAGCAGTCAGAGGTTATACAATACATTATTCATTCATTTACTAAAATGGATGGAAAAACACTTTCAATTAAAATATCTACAACTGGCTTATAAAAAAAATCACCAGTTGCATGTACAACATGGCCATTTTATTCTTCAACACATGGAAACTACACATGTAGCCTCACAAGAAGCATTAGGTATGATCCTTATGTAAGCATTATTAGAATCCCAGAAAACCTAGAGTGAATAAAAATAAATTGTGTAGCTGTAATTACTAGTAAGAGTTATTTACAATGTAGCAGGTTTGATAAAATCTTTGTCTTGACTTTTCCTTATTCTGCAATGGAACTGCAAAACATTACTGTGTCTGGCATATAAGGGCTGGACAGCAAGAATCCTCAACTAGCTGGTGTGAAAACCTCAAGGTCTAAAGTCAGCTCTTTCATAAATAGGCTGTATTGCTTTTGGGGGAAAACGGAGAAATAACGACAAAGATAAAAAATGGACTCTGTTCTCTCCTTGACAATATGGGGTTAATAGCACTGTCTTCATTAAATGGTCAATATTCTAGAAGACTCAAAAGAGAGGAAGTGCTTTTTTACAGTAACAGCAGTTACGAACCAAGCACATCCATTTTTTCTCCAATTATTTACCAATATCCTCCACATAACCACATTAGGAGAGAAATGCTGTTTGCTGGCTATATAAGTATCAAACAAGTCACCCAAGCAAAACCGAGTCAGTCAGTAAGATGCACCCTGTATTCAACACCGTGTAACTTATTTGTGAATTGCAAAGAGAAGGAACAATTTGTCCTCAAAATCACCAATCCAAGCCAAGACCACTTTATCTACATTTATTCAACGTATGTCCAAAGATTTGAGTTCTTGCTAAAGAAAAGCATGTACAAGCCACCCAACAGACAAATTTAACTTTTATATAAATCTTTGGAAAAAAAGTCCTTTAATATAAGCTTCAGACTGTCCTTACTGTCTCCCTCCCCTCTCATTTAACCCTCTATTAATACATTAAAAAAAAACAGAAAGCAAAAGTTTTGCTATCATTAGGAGGCCTTTGAATCTATCAGCGTAGGGGATAAGGCAAATGCATAAAAAACAAAGACTCTGAAGAGAGGACTTTTATAGACCTCTTCAACTTAAACCAAAGGTTATAACCAAGGCAGGGGAAAAAAAAAAAAGTGACCAAATATATTGGAAATTAATGACCTCATTATGAACACAATTCAAAAACTAATTTGGATTAACAGACATGTGCTTCATTAAGATGAACTGAGCAAAAGTTTCCAGCATAACCTGGAGAGCAGTCTTTTCTGCACCTTGAGCAAGCCAAAGTAAAAGTTACCCTTCTCCAACACCTGCTACTCTTATTTTACACAACTCTTAACAGAAGTATCCGTTGGTTTTTAATTGCAAAAAGAATTGCAATTGCCATGACCCACTGTTCTCCCAAGCAGATTGCTTTATTATACGCAGTGAAAGACAAACAAAGGAGATCAGGTGTTTGTGATATGATGAAGCTTCTCATCTAAGGTTCTGAAATATTAACATTTTTCAAAAGTTTAGGAAAAGTACAGCAGAAGCTGAATGAAATTCATCAAATACACTAAATTTTCTGGAAAGAAAATGTAACAAAAAATATCAAGTGCCACCATCATCACATTTCATAATCAGATTTTTTCCCTTGCATTTGTTATTTGAGTCCTTTTTTTCAATACTTACTGTCTTAGCAGCTGTCGTCCTTGTTTCCATATTAGCTGACTGTTCTGTTGTGGCTGAATTTCTGTCTCATTCCCTTCATCTGGAAGAGATTATTTAATTGTGAATACTTTTTTCCTTGTCCTACTCCTTAAAAAGACATCCAACCACTTGAAAAGACAAATGTGATTTGTCTTAAAATGATTAGGAATGGTTTAATAACAAAATAAAAGATTCAAAGTGCCAATAACCATGACAGGAAAAAAAGCGCATGGCATGTAATTGTAGCACTATGTACACAAAGATTTCCAGGTACATCCTACTTTATGAGAGCAAGTTCCACTAGTCATCAGTGCCCTCCCTTCTGTTTCACATCCAAAAGCCCCATCTTACTCCTTTTTCTTTAAGGGCACACAATGACAGACAATCTGGGGTTACATTTTTGCAAAATTTTCAATATAATTGCTGCTTGTAATTTAGGTTTGAATACAAACATCTTCAACTGCTAACCATCAAATGCAACTGCAGCACGATACTCACTTGCAACATACTATCCAGCCAATTTCCTTAATATTTGACTGTGCAACATAAAAGCAGACCTACTCACATCACCTTTAAATTCATTCATATTTGGATTAGTTTTGTGGAAGGCCAAAAAAAAAAACAAAACCAAACAAACAAAACCACACACACACACAAAACAAACACACACAAACACAAAACAACCAGGAGTTGTTTATTTTTTTAACCTGAAAAGACATGGAAAAAAATTTCACCACATTTTCCACAACCATACATTTGTATCTGAATAGTACTATACTAGGAAATTCCACAAAAATATTATGTGGTATCTCTGGTCAGAAACCTATCTGAATGCTGGCCACCAGCAGCTACACATTTATTCCATATATAGCTTCATACTACATGATGGTGGGATGGTTTTTCCCCTCCTCCAGGAGATACATAAGCATATGCTTCCCAAGATAAAAGATCTTGGTTTATTACCTATGAAAGCCTCTACAAAACCTGAAACCCTTGTGGTCCAGATACTGAAGGGTGAACAATCTTCTTGTGTAAATAAAAATTATGAACCAGAAAATGTGTGGTATAATCCTATGACTAACTTGATATGTGATGTAGGAAAGCTACTGTTCTTACTGTGAAGTCATTTACCTTCAAACAACTGAATTAACACCACACACACAAAAAAACACCATCCACCCAAAGAAGCTATCAAAGACTAATCAGAATTGACATGCAAGAAGAGTCATATGAATGTTATCCATCTTAAATTCACAAATCCATTTAATAGCAACCATAGGAAATAATCAATCGCACAATGATTTTCTGATGACAACTGAACATAGCTGGACCAAACACACAACTACCAAAGCTCAATCTATAAGAATTAAAACTTGACTAAGATAAACCTGCCTGAAAATTACTTTTGTTGAAAGCAAACACCCTTCTTCCAAAGGCACTATATCTACAGGAAAGAATTCCCTTTTGCTTAGTCTCCTCTGACTGCTTGCAGTAACAGCGATTTACAGATGGGAATGAAGGGACTTACATTATAAGCAAATAAAAGCAGAAGATATCGCAAGCAGTTTTTAAAATAAAAAAAGGCATCTCTTTATGAGGAGATGAACTCTTACTTCCAAAAGTAAGACTTCACAAGAGATCATAAAGAAAACAAACAAGGATTCATTTGGAAGAACTACTAGGAACACTTCCACGTTTTTCCCCGACTGGGCAGGAAAAGACATGGACATCAAGTGAGTATCTATCAAAGACAACTTCAAAGGAGCACAATAAAGTTTCTATTTTAAGTGTGTATCTATAGTCAGCCCACTTTTGATACAGAACAAAAGCATATGTTCCTGACAGCTACAGATATAGAGTGCAATGGGATAAACCAGGATAATGGAATTTTAACAAAGGTAATTCCACTAATGTTCACTTTGTCAAAGTAAAGCAATGGTTACAGCTCTGCACTACATTCCCCAGCTAGAAGCTGGAGCAACATGCTGAAGCTGCATCCTGAGAAATTACAAAAAACAAGGTTGTCTAGGATCTTGGTATGATCAGGCCAGTTTTCTAGTGGTGCAGACACAGACTGGGGTCTTCCACTTAGTAGAATCAAATGGAACTATTTCATCAGTTCAGGAAATAACCTTGAAAATAATGTGAAATAAAATTTCTCTAAAATTTGTTGTATCTTTAGAGAAGAAAAGCCTTGTGTAAAGTTTCCTCAGTTGGTGTCAGTTTAGATTTTTTGTTTCTTTGGATTTTTTTAATGACCTTCCAAATCCAATGGGATAAGAATAAACCCTGATAGTAAACCAAACCATGCCTTCCACCAAGTGACAGAGCTGAAGTCTGCACTTTCTATATTCCTCCTTTATGTACAAGTGGTTCTAGTTTTGTTGCTGTAGCATCAGGGGACTCAGACACAAAAATCACCAATTACTTCTCCTTTTGAGGACTCAACCTATAATCAGTTCTCTGTATTTCTTCTTTTTTTCCCCTCTCAGAAAAGGCTAGGGAAATAGAGAGAGGGATGAAAGGAAGTAATTTAAATTCTTAATTCCTCAAGTTCAGTGCTTAAAAATATTTGTGTGAAGTAGGAAATGCAACCTCTAGAAGAACAAATCAGCTTTCCAGGGACCAAGGTGAAAAACTGTCCTCTCACTGCACAGCATTGAAGTTAGTTGTATGCATTTTCAACAATCATTGGAATCCTGTAAATAAATTCCCCACTCTCAAACTCTAATTAGTTTAATATGAACTTGAGTTCTTTTTATCCCAGAATACCATTGAGGTAATTGACCAAAAAGTTATGTACCACACATCTGATGTCCTTTATCATTAACTTTTTATTCAGAAGAATTATTCAGAGATAAAATGATACTACAGCTATATATCTAGCATCTCCCCGTTCCAAAATGCCCATACACATTACTAATGGAGAAGAAAAATTATGCTCTTCAGGAGCATTTTATTAGTTTGGTTGGGGTTTCTGGGGTGGGGGGTTTGGTGTTTTTTGGTTTGGTTTGGTTTTTTTTTTGTGTGTGTGTTTTTTGTTTTTTAAACTAATTTGATTTTCTTCAATTAATACCTTCCAGAGCATTAGTATACATTTTTAATTTTACAAGAGTAAAACATAGTCTTTATTAATTATCTCTACTCCCACTGCTTCTATTAAGTGGCTTATTTTATCAACACGACCATTTCAGCATTTCACAAACCACAGTTAAGCTTTAATGCCAGTAATGAAATCATTCTTAATAAATTCTTACCAGAATCATAGTTTGGTGGTTTCATATCTCCCTGATTCAATTCTGTACCATATTTTAATTTGTGATATTTAGCCCTGAAACAAAGAACAAAAAAAAGAAAAAAAAAAAAGAAGAAACTATTAGCACATTTAAAAGGTATCTCTAAACACATGTATGTCACCTATCTTCACTTGAAAAGCCACTCCTTTCTTCTAGGCTAGGAACAAAATAAGTAACTTCAGCAGGTCTTCAGATATGTAATTTTGTTTAATTATTTTCTCTAGGGTTGACATGTAATTGCAAAGTAAATAGTGGTGAAAAACAGGTGTCAGTAGACTAGATTTTACAAAACATTCTTGTTACAGAAAAGTTTCTTCCCTGTAGAAAAGGGCTACTCTCTGCTTTCTTGCCCGCTCTGCTCACCCCCTTTATTTTTAGCCATCACTACGAAATATTTTTACTCTCCATGTTTGTTCAGTGCCATCTACTTCGTATTTCATATTGTCACCTCAATTAAACAAACCCTTCTTCAAAACGCTATCCCTTCCAACAGCAGCAGGCCCTTGGTTAGAACCATTCTGAGATTTAGCACTGACAGAGCCCAGTTGCTCTTAAAGCTGCTAGACCTGCCACCTGGCAAAGCTCAAAAATGGAGGCTTCTCTTCCAAAAATACTTTAGCCTACAAAAGGCCTGCTGTAATAAGCCCCACCAAGCATGTTCAACAAAGATAGTAAGACTAGCTAGAAAAGGTAAATACTTTTTAATTTTAAAATCTTCATTCTGCAGAGTGAATGTCTATAGACTTTTCAACGCAGAAAATAATGCCACAGTAGTACAGCATTACAAATGCACGTAAGTTATTAAAGATTCATTAGAATAGTCCTATAGATTCATAAAGGTTGAAAAAGACCTAATATCATCAAGTCCAAATGTCAACCCGACACTACCATGACCATTAAACTATGTCCTGAAGTGCCATGTCTACACGTTTTTTTGAACACCTCCAGGGATGGTGACTCCACACCCCCCCTGTGCAGCCTGTTCCAATGCCTCACCATTCTTTCAGTTAAGAAATTCTTCCTAATATCCAATCTCAACCTCCCCTGGCACAACTTGAGGCCATTTCCTTTTGTCCAATTGCATGTTACTTGGGAGAAGTGACCAACACCCACCTCACTCCAACCTCCTTTCAGGTAGTTGTAGAGAGCAATAAGGTCTCCCCTCAGCCTCCTCTTCTCCAGACTAAACAATTCCAGTTCCCTCAACCACTCCTCATAAGACATGTTCCTTCAGACCCCTCACCAGCCTCGTTGTCCTTCTCTGGACCTGCTTCAGCACCTCAATGTCTTTCTTATACTGTGGCACCCAAAACTGAACAAAGTATTCAAGCTGTGGCCTCACCAGTGCCAAGTACAGCGGCACGATCACTTCCCTAGCCCTGCTGGGAAGGATACTATTTTTGATCCAGGCCAGGATGCTGTTGGTCTTCTTGGCCACCTGGCCACACTGTTGGCTAATGTTCATCTGGCTGTCCACCAGCACCCTCAGGTACTTTCCTGCTGGGCAGCTTTCCAGCCACTCTTCCCCAAGCCTCTAGCACTCCACGTGGTTGTGACCCAAGCGCAGGACCTGGCACTCGTTGAGCCTCACACAATTGGCCTCAGCCTGTCAATCCAACATGCACAGATCCCTCTGCAGAGCCTCCCTACCCTTGAGTAGAGCAACCCTCCTGCTCAATGTGGTGCCATCTTCCTGAGGCAAACTTACTCACGGTGCACGTGATCCAAATCATTGATGAAGATGTTAAACAAGAGTGGTCCCAAAACTGAGCCCTGAGGGACACCACTTGTGACTGGACTCCAACTGGATTTAACTTCATTCACCACAGCTCTCTGGGCTTGGCCATCCAGCCAGTTTTTAACCCAGCCAAGAGTCCACCTGTGTAGGCCAAGAGCCACCAGATTCTCTAGCAGATTGTTGTGGGAGAAGGTGTCAAAGGTGTCACTAAAGTCCAGGTAGACAACATCCACAACCTTTCCCTCATCCACTAGGCAGGTCAGGTTGGTCAAGCAGGACCTGCTTTTTATGAACCCATGCTGGCTGGGCCTGATCTCTGGGTTGTCCTGCACATGCCACATGAGTGCACTCAAGATGAACCATTCCATAATCTCCCCTGGTACCAAGGTCAGGTTGACCAGCCTGTAATTCCCCGGATCCTCCTTCCGGCCCTTCCTGTAGATGGGCATCACATTGGCAAGCCTCCAGTCATCCGTGACCTCCCCTATTAATCAGGACGGATGATAAATGATGGAGAGTGGCTTGGCATGCTCCTCTGCCACCTCCCTCAGCACTCTTGGGTGGATCCCATCCGGCCTCATAGACTTGTGGGTGCCCAGGTGGCATAGCAGGTCCTTCACTTCTTCCTCCTAGATTACAGGAGGTTTATTCTGCTCTCCATCCCTATCTTCCAGCTCAGGGGGATGAATACCCTGAGGATAACTGGGCTGACTATTGAAGACTGAGACAAGTAAGGCATTAAGTTCCTCAGCCTTTTCCTCACCCTCGGTGGCAACGTTTCCCCCCCCACCTCCAATAAAGGGTGGAGATTGTCCCTGGCTATCTTTTTATTGTTAATTTATTCATAAACCCTTTTTTATTATCTCTTACGACAGTGTCCAGATTGAGTTCTAGCTGGACTTTTGCTTTTCTGATGTGCTCTCTGTATGACATAACTAGATCCCTGAACTCTTCTTGAGTTGCCTGCCTCCTTTTCCAAAGGTGTTAAACTCTCTTGTTTTTTTCCCTGAGTCCAAACAAAAGCTCCCTGTTCAGCCAGGCTGGTCCTATAACAATAACAGAGAAACTGAGGCAAAGAGAGCCTTAGCCAGTTTCAAAATCTGTTCCTCCTTTCTCTCACACTCACTCTAACCGTTGTCTCTATAATTGTTTTCTTCCAAACATGAAAGTTCAGATGACTAAAAAAAAAGATTCTATGTAGAATTTTGTAGATATTCACAAGTGTATAGAGAAGCAGCACTCATACTCATCCCTATCCTGAAAGAAAGGCAGGGAAGAACTGAGGCAATGCTGGGCATGCAGCCTAGCAGCTGCAGGATAACCAAGCAGCACATCCACATATGCAGCTCCAGTTCAAAGGTACAGGAGCTAGGTGCCAGGCTGCAAGATACAGGCTACAGAAGACAAAAAAAAACCAAACCAAAACAAACAAACAAACAAAAAAAAACCAAAACAAACAAACAAAACCAACCAACCAAACAAACAAAAAAACACAACCAAAACCAACCAACAAAAATCAATCCTCACATACACCAACATGAAAGTGGAATTCTTCGACTTAAAATTTGGTTTTGAGTAATTAATGGGTGTAATACTTCACAACTGTACAAGGCAAGTTTCTCAAAGCTCAAATGACTGTAACAAGAACAACTATAGGTAATGTTTTCAAGTTAGCAGGACCTCTTAATTCTTTCTCAGACATGCTTATTACACTACTGTTTTCTTTTGGATTTTCCTATTTCATAAAGAAAATTCATTGCTTCTACCAAAATGGTGCCGAGGGAAGTAATGCTTGGCAGTTCTTATGCTTCAGTATCAACAGTACTAGTTTCCTACTAATCCAGCCGCATTTTATTTACAATAAACATTTAATTCTGGTTGAGAAGGATAAGTGCACAGTGAAGAAATGCCTTTTAGGTGTAGCAAAAAAGATAGATGAAGGAACAGACTTCTTCCTCAAGAGCCAGAGCACTGAGCTCTAACTCAGCTGGGCAACCACAAGCAAGGAAAGAAAGAAGGATGTACTTGAAATGTACTGACAGCAATAAGTGAAGGATAAACATTTTGGTCAGTACAGAAAAGAATAACCAAGAATAGAACAAATTTAAAGCTGAATGCTCAAAATATTTCTTTCCTTTTCCAACCGTTTCCGACATCTAACCAGCAGAGAGATGCTACCCTGATAAAACAACTGCATTTCATTATTATTAAAATACTTTTTCCCCCACCATCACTAACAAAAAGTAATGACTAATCAAGAACTAAGAAATCCTATACTCTGTCACTCACCTACCTCACCAACTTTAAGCATTACACTTAGTCAAAAACTTTAAGTTTTTATGCAGTTATCAAGTGACCCTAATGTTTAATCCGTGTTGATCTGACTTACCAAAAGCAAGTAAATATTAATACTTTAATCTGGATTAGTGACCTATACTGTGCTCTACTCAATTCCTGAAAATAATTTCAGACAGCAGTTAGTTTTGTGGCATGAGGCATTTGTTTTTATATAAACTCCATGAGATAAAGTTTCACTACCCTCTCCGCATTCACTGATTTTCTTATCAAAGTTTTGCTAACAATTTCCACCAAATTATTAGCAAAGTTAAATGGTTGCTAGGTTAACTGAATGGATCATTCCTTGTACCTTTCCTATTCCCCATATCTCACCTGTTCTCCAAGATCCATTTCTCAAAAATTCAGAATGTATTTTAAACTTATCAGTATATTTATTTGAATCTGTTAAATCTCTGTATGCACATTTTAAAATTTTATTTCCCTCCTAAATCAACAGAAACACTCCTCTTTCTTCTTATTGAAGTTCTCCCCCCTCATTAAAGGCATTATAAAATCAGTTTAGCAAAGTCAGATTATTTATTCTATCCATATTTCCAACTATTAGTAGCAGGTTGGTTTTGTTTTTGTTTTTTTTTAACTGGTTCCTCCTCATAATGCAACAGTTTTTAAAGCCTTATTCTTCTTTAGTTCAGGAGAATTACCTAGATTACATGGTCTTGTAGACTACCCTTCAATTTATTTTAAGGCCAAGCTGGACTATGATTTCATCTTTCAGAAGATCTGAATTCATATATCACAGGCAGACACCAGCAGAAATACAGATATGGTGGCAGAATCACATCCTAACAAAAGACAGGCAACTGAAGAGCTGACAATCCCAAAAAGCAACACATACTGCTAATATTGCTGGAGAAGTTAAAAAGACAGACATTTGCCTGCACAAAATTACAATAAAAACCAATGCCAAGCTCAAACCTCCATTTATTTAGAATCCATTAGCACAAATGCATACATTCAAACAAGACACCAGTCAGATGTGAAACAGAAACATGAGTATCCTGTCAGAGTACTGGACCTGGTGAATTCACCTTCAGCTATGGTCAGTTTCTGAAGTTCAAAAGACTATTAAAAAAAAAAAAAAAAATCAATAGAGATTACAAACAGTCCATCAAGTAATTATTTTCTACACTTATTCAAGCAGCAGGTATGAGATTTATTATTAGATTTTTTCTTATGGTAGAGCTGAAAATGTCACTGATATGAAAGATAAACAATCTTCTTTCCAAAGCACACTAAGAAAAGGGCTAAACACAGTAATTCTTGGGAGAAAGCAGTCTTGACCATTCAGTTACATATACTGCAATCAAAGGCTATGAGAGTTCTCACAAAGGAAACTTTCTTTTCTATACAAATTTTGCATACAGCTTATTTCATTGGCGTGTTTGTATTTAATCTATTTCTACAATAACAGAGTATCTCTTGCTCAGCTGCCATGCTTAATTCCTCCTCCCTTTCAGAAATCACCTAGTCCACTTACTAACAGCTTTAAACTGGCCCTATGTAGTTCACATTGAACTCTAGTTCACACATCACAGCAGTGAGGTATTATTATCACAAAAAGAGCAAATTATTTCTGTAAATAAGTATAAAGAAAAATTGAAGTTTCTCCAACCTTTATATCATCCGGTCAAAAACGATGGCAGCTTTGTGGCAAGAGAAGGAGGAAAAAACAAATCACAAAAATGAGCCTTTATTAACTTAAAACTTGTTCAACATGGGTGATCTACCTCTTGAAAATTACATCTGAATTATTAACAGTAAGCAGAGATTGAAAAATGACTTGAAAATAACTACCTGAAGGAAACAAATTTATAGAAAGTATTTTCCATCTGAAAACTAGCCTTCAAGTTGTCTGGAAGAAAACTACTCTGGGGCTATGAAACTGTTAGTGCATAGATGCCTTTACTCAGACAAGTCTGAATTTTAGCACTGCTCTGGCTTTTGCACTTCAACATACAAGTCTTTTCCAACTAGCAGCATTCTCTTGAAACTATGTATCTTCCATGCAAACAGTGCTTGGAGACATTCTGCATGGCTGCCACAAGACTTCTAGAATTGCTTAGGGAAACGCTAAAAGCTTTCATCTAATTTCTATATTTCTTAAGACTGAGAGCAGTGAAACTTTCCTAAATACTTCACAGAGAAACAAGGTTGATCCCAATCAAAAAAGGCCGCTATTTCTTGGCAATATCTGTCGCCAGACCTGAAGCATCTGATCCAGCTGTGCTGAGGGAGTCTGCCAAAACATCCGCAGAAGATCTGGGAGCCGCCGCCAAACGGAGAGACATAAACAAGAACGACTGCCAGGAACAGCACGGCGAGATATCCTACCCAGGGGAGAAGGCGCCAGCCTTACGTTGATCAGACACACCAGTGCAGAAAACAACACAAAATTAAATCAAGTGTTTCTAGAGTCAGGGCTCAGGAGGCCAGTTCTTTGGTTAAAATATGTTAAGACAGGAAATGAGCTAGACTAGATGAAACAGGACATGTACTTGAGAGAAACAGAGCTACATTTCAGCTAGCTTCTGAAAATTCAGAAGAAACAATGCAGCTTACTAGTGGTGGAGCAACTATTGATAAAGTAATAAAAAGTAACCCTCAAACGTGAACAGCCTCACACTGCAATCTACTGGATGTTGGCAAAACTACACCAAAAGCGCTCTTGAACAAATGATAGTGCTTCTGCTAACTACCTCCTTCTAAGCTCTTTGCTATTCTATCCATTAAGACTCTTCAGCAGAAATAACTGGGCTTCCTATACACACAACAAAAAGGTAATCTTAAAATTATTAACATAAAGACCAAACAGTAAGCTAAATTTGGCACAAAACATGAAAATCCGTAAGTAAAAATAATTTTCTACCTTGCCTGCTATAAAATTACATAAGTGCCATGACACAGAGAACAACAACAATGCTTCCAAAGTTGCTTACTTATAGGCAACTTTGAAAATGTTTGATTGACAGAGAAAGGCTCAACACTTGCTATACAGAACCACAGCTCAGGAAAGCTTGTCTCAGAGAAAAGCAGTGTGGCTCATTTCTTGCTCATGGTTTCCTGAGGGCATTGTGAACACCGACTACTGTGGGCTACGATTTCATATTCTGCCCCGTCACTCATTACTTACTTCTTCTAGCTAAGAAAGATTCTGCATGCTGCAAGGCCAGGCAGAAATGAAGGAAAACAGGAATGCTTCCCTGCCCCCTCCCACCCACACCAACCTTCTGACTTGACCAGAAATGTTTCCTCCTGCCTTGTAGGATCTCATTTGCCAGCTCGGAGTTCCCAGTGGAAAAAGCCAGCATCCCAACTGACTCCTGCCTGACCTGGCTGACAGCTGATGTAGGAAAATGCTGGGAGAGAGAGCAGCGCTTCCAAGCTCGGTATGTTGCTATTCTTTTAAGTACCAAGCAAGAACACTTGCTGGGAGACATTTCCAACAGAAATACAAGCCTCTTTCTCCAGAAACTGGCAAATAATACTGCTGTTTGAAACCACAAACTCTTATAAATAGCAGTCTCCAGCACACACCATTCACAAGAATCACATTTACTTTGAGAACCATTGCACATGCATACTGAAACTGTCAAAATGGACTGGATCAGCTGACTGTAGCCTACTGACCTGAGAAATCAAGGCTAATACCATACACTGCAGAAAAAAATACACCAGAAGATAAAAGATACCTACATTAAAAACTCCTAATAAGAAAACACCATTTTTTTTCCCCCAAGCCCTAACAGTGACTGCTGCATTAGGATTGAAATGTCCTAATTCAGGTGAATTTTACTGAATGCGACTGGGGAGCATTTTCACTATCCACACTGAAGTTTGATATTTTAATTTTTTAAAAAACTTACAACGCTTCTCTGATAGCACACAGAAATGTATTTACATAGACCGATAATTTTAGATAAATTGCTAATTCATCTGGGTTATGAATGTGAAGTATTAGAGATAACCCTAAGGAATCGCTTCCTCAGCTTTGAGAAACAAGAAATCTTGCAGTAGAAAAAATCCTACTGTACTTATATACCTTAGAGCATATCTTCAGGTGTGCAAGTATGTACTCCATTTCCTCTGTCTTTTTAAAGTGACTCTAATCTTCCTAATCATGCCCCAAATGTAAGTCTTTCCTCAGCTGTAACTGCAATCTCATTATGCACATACTGGATATTTTTCTGTGCCCTTTGATACACGATCGGTACCATACCAAGGCCTGAACAACAAGGGTATCTACCCTGAGCATTTCTCTGAAAACTGCCCAAAGTGGGAGGAAGCACCCTGCAGCCCTGAGGCTACTGGCGGCCGGAAAACTGGCTGCAGCTCCACACCCATGGATGAACTGGTTGCCACCAGAAAGAGCCATAATGGATGGTGAGAGGCGTGTCTCACCCGCTACAGCAGCCCACATAAGATGAGCAAATCTAAACGCAATATAGTAATGCACAACTACGAGTGTCCTTCTCAGACTATCCAGCAGTAATATCCTATTCCTCATTCGTATATTTCTCACCTTACTTGTACTACTACAAATTATTTTAAAGTTATTTATGTTATTAATATTTTATTAATGAGACATAGGAATTATTTGATAGGAAAATGGTATGTAAGCACCGATTACTTTGCAGTAGTACCATAAATTTAATATTCTTAACCAAAGATAATAAGACATTTTACTACTAAAAAAAAAAAAATTAAAACTAAGCTTGGCCTAAAATAAATCAGTCAAACAGAAAGTCTTCTGGAAACATGACAAAAAATCCAATTTGTTTGCCTCAGTGATTGTAACAACAGGAAAGTACGTATAAGAATAAAATGGTAGACTAGGGACTTCTACTGAAATCCCTGTGAACAAAGAAACAGACGTTTGATTAACTGGTAAACACAAGAAGTATTTCACTCCACACACAATTAGGCTCCAGAAGATATCCTATAGTCTATCATACTGAGAAGACTACAAATTTAACAAGATTAAAAACCAGTAATTACTAGACTTGAAGATAGTTATTCAAGATTTCAGTTGTCAGAGACTACTAAACAAAGTAGTACTTCGAACAAAAAAAGAATGCACTGTAACTGTGGGGTGTGATCTAGAGAGTTAGCTGGAATTTTACCAAGGAAAAAGTATTCACCATCGATCAACCATGGCATATATTAGCATAGTTTTGGAGCATACTGTGTTAGCTATTGTTCTTATCATAACGCAGACATTTAGACTACTAACTTTATTTACTATAATAATAGTTGTCAATTTAAGAACTGAACAAATATAAAATAAATACTTGTTTCTGTCAACTACAAAGGCAAAAGAAAGTATCTGTCTTCAGAATTTCTTTGTCATGTACTCATCACTACAGCAGCATACCTTTCCTGTTTAAGTGCATATTCCAGCATTTTGATTCTTCGCACCAGATCCTTCTTCAGATTTTCTTGTCCTTTCCTTTCACCTTGAAGAAAAGCGATCTGGGCCTGCAAGAGGAAATATTCAATTTAGAACCTCCTTCCTCAAAAACATCCAGCATAGCTCTTAGGTGCATGTGTCTCCTCCAACTTATTTTAAAATTTATTTGTATGGTTCAAAAGAAACTGGCTTGTTGCATCTTATAAACATTAAATGCTTACACAAAACACTGCATAGATAAACCTCCTAAACTGCATGCTCATTACAGAACAAAAAAAAAACAAAACAAACAAAAAAAAAAAAAAAAACAGATAAAAAAATAAAGCAAATTTAGTTTGTTTGACAGGGTTTATTCCTCTCTTGGCTAAACATTCAACAAAGGATAAGGAACAGATAAAATAAGCATACAAAAAGCCTTCAGCAGATAAAAGCATTTACCAACAATAAGCAGGAGAAGATTATAAAGTATTTCTGCTCACTAATAACAGAAGTAGTATTATTAGCATACTGCTCTGTAGATACATTTTAGATACATGATACTAGTCAAACAACTGAAGTACAGCATGTTCAGCTAAAAGAAAAATAAAATCCTGTTTGCAATACAGCGTCAAGTGTTAATTTGTATACTTCCTAAAATATGTTAAAAAAAAAAGCTCTCCAGAAATACTGTGATTAAGCAATAAAAAATGGAAAACAGGGAAGGGTGTTTTGGTGAGGGAGACAAGGAAAGAAATGGCCTAGAAGTAAATAAAAGACAAGTGGAAAAAGAAACACCTAACCTTTATCAGCTTCCAGCAGAGAGTAAGTATTTAGTTGCCCATGGAAAATCTCCTTTAAACAGAAAATTATGATATATACAAGTTATTCATTCTCAAACATAAAGGCAGAACTCCCTGCTTTTGTATTTCATGCTCAAAATTAAGTCTATCTTAAGAGGTAGGTTCTTGTGCTCTCAACTCATGAACATACTTTTAGAAAGAAACACCCACGGGCAGCCACCACTTCATGCCTTGGCCACACCTGCACTGCAAGCTCCCTGTCATCTCCAGGATCAGAAGCCTTATGCCACCTTTGCAGCCAAGTCTTCAAGTATCTCATCCCTCTCTCAAGAAACATAAACAGGATAAAAGGCAACTGGTCCAGACCATCAGCTGTCGAATGTGAACACCAGTAAGCCTTTTGTTTAGATAAATGCCCACTGCAGTCCTATGAGCAGTGTTTTCTGTAGGTACTGCAGGCTACCAATCTCTAGAGAAAGCCAGCGAGAAACGAGCAGGAGTATCCTCCCCTCTCTTCACCTGCCACAACCTTGTAAGCAGTCCCCAGATATTTTAGTTAATGGAGGCAGACACTTCTGAAGAATACTTTATCTGACTTCAGACTTTTATCCCAAGGTGCAAAAAACAGTGTCTGTAAATGTCATTTTCTCTCCATCAGCTATAAAGGGAATGCACACAATTAGTTTGGTTGAATTTTGGACATCAGGCTAGATGAATCTTACTACAAAAGACCATTTGCTGGTGGCCAGCTAAAGCAGCTGCTCCAAAACATAACACCAGTTGACAGAACTTCATTGCTCAAGTGCAGCCAGTAAACAGCTTGACAGACACCTGAAGAATCTTTAACCACCAGTCACCAACTAGAGCAGCTAGTTTAAGACAACTGAAAAACCCTGGCTGCTCTCCAACAAAGTCAGTCTTCACCTTCAGTGGGGGAAATGCATTTGACTGCCAAAAAAACCTCAGCTGAATCAGAATGCCTCTGTCATTCTGGCATCTAGCTTCTCCTCACTTAAAACTCAAACTTTAAAACTCGAACAAAAAACTACAATTGAATTCTAATGTTAATTTAAGGAAAGGCACAGGAGAAAAACATTGGCACTGGAGTGAGCATTTCCTGCTCTGAAGAATATAACTGTGCAGGAAGCATGTCAACTCAACAAGGTCACCATTCCTCTCAGTTGCAAAAGGAACACCTCAAGCACATACAGCTTAGTTTGCGGTAACTGCACAGACACCCAGATCCTAATGCATATACTAGTACACTGTGATAGTGATTTCTCCCTCTCTGACCAAATAAGCCCAACAGAAATGAGCAAGTGCCCTTCTAGACAAAAAGTGAGAGAACATCAAAGCATGCTGTTAAGAATAGTAGAGCATGAGGTAAATAAGCATTTGGCTGGAATGAAAAAAATCATCCCATGCCACCAGAACACAAGCCAAAGCGACCTACGAAACGATCTGCTGTCCACAGGCAATTTCTAGCTACGAATGCACTGACTGGACGGGCTGGAACGAAGCACGTTTAGCCGGCAGGTTGGAAAAGGGCAGCCAGTAATGGCCTGGCTCTCACACTGCCCTACTGCAAACGTCAAACCAGCACTACCCTGCTAACAATTGAGGTCAGAGCCATCTTCCACTGGTAGCAGCCTAAACAAAGCAGGGGAAGCAACTTATCAGTAGTTTTGACAGCTTGCTTTTATAAGAGAGACATAAATGGATTAGAATAAGAAGTGTCATACAACACATCCTTCATTTGAAAATGGGCAGAGCCAGACTTCTGATACAGAGCAGGCCTGACTCCGTTACTTGTCTGACTAACCATTTGAGAACCCAAATTCAAAACTTACCAGAAGCTTCCCAAGCACATAAAGTAAATAATATTCCTAACTCCACCTCTCGAGCTGAAGCATCTACACCTTACAATTCAACATGAAAGAAAAGCATTGCACTTTCCCTCCTTGGGGCCACTGGAAGGCTGCATGTATTGTACACATACTGCACAGGAAGAAGGAACAGTGGAAGAAATATTAATTGATGCTTTGAACATCTTTTATCATCACTGGTATGCCAGTGCTCTTACAGATGTCTTAGAACAATTCTTCTTCCTGGGCTTCCAGGAAACCCTTGTGTTTCTTACTCAAAAAGCATGCATCAACAATGGAGTGGAATTCATGGCTCAGGAGCCACCTCTGCAGCCCTACACAAGCTTATTGCCAGGATCTTTCAAGGTTACTACACACTTTACTGATCGGCACTTTTACTGGCAAATCAAGAAATAGACAAGTGCACCAGAGGGCCTGAGGTGTCTCCTTGGAGGATGCACAGTTTCTACCATAGTTTGTTCCTGCTTTTCTTCTGAGTGGATTCTTATGTCATTATTTTTCAGAAATTCTGGCTCTGAAAACAACAATGCTTACCCCCTTGTTGATTTTTATTATATACAAAAAGTAAGAAGAATATTCCTTCTTTCTCTCATGGGATGTTAGCAACCCTTAACCCTCATTTATATAAGTAATGGATAATTACAACTAAGTCAGCCTCACTGAACAACAAAACATCAGTTATATATTTAAGCTCAAATTTTAAGAAATTATTAATGATAATAGTCAGGTTTATTTGTAATGCACATAAGGACAGCATTAAAATAACTGAAATTTTATACTAACAATAATACTGTAACAGTCTATGTGCCATAAGTAAGTTTCACTTTTTAAAATGTTTGGCAATTAACTGAAAATATGCAAAGAAACTTCAATGTCCATACCATAAATGAAAAAATTTCTAGTATAAATGAAAAATGAATGAGTACACCAAGTTTAAATATCTAAAATGACAAATTACAAGATCCTACAGTGTTTCCTCAGTCTTTAGAGCAAACGAGTGATAACGCTAGGATCACTGTTTCAAATCAAAATACTTAGCCAACACCTGTCTAAATGTCTGTGCACATGTTTAAAGTGTAAGAAGTGTGTTTAAACACAATGAAAAGTATCAGCTGAACCATACAACTACAGCTTTCTTATATTTCAGGTGTAAACAACAGAATTTTGCCAACAGATTGAGACTCCACAGGCAAATTCCCATGGCTGCAGCTTTAGCTAAAATCAAACCTGAAGCCTGCGCTACCTGAGGGAGTAGGAGAGCAAAGGAGGGTCGCTTCTGCTTTGAATCATCTCCAACACTGTTCTGCACTTGTGCCTGGGCCACTCCTGGGAAGGTTTGCCAAAAATTTCAAGAATTCACAAATATGCTCAACAAACAGGTTCTGTGACAACTGACCTTCTAGCTAATAATGTTAAAATGCATCAAGTTGTAAGCTTGTCATTGCAAACCTCTAAACCGCCTACGGGGATCACACAAAACCTCAAATTGTTCCTTGCCTTATGGGCGGGGTGCACCATCCCCACAAAGCGCCCGGCCCCGCTGGCTCCCAGCGAGGAATAAAGGCAGCGTCCGCCTCAAGGTTACTGCAGGCTAAGTGCTACGAGTTACTGTGTTACAGCTCAACTGTGCCACCAAAGTTAAGAGTCAGAAAGAAATAAACAAACAAAAAAAAAACACAACACCCCTCTCCCAAAAAAACCTACATAATATTGGGAAAAGAGATACCTGGAACAGCCTATTTCAGCTACAACTGTACAGTCCAGTTTTGGTTTGGTTTGGGTTTTTTTTCCACTTTATCTCATTAAAGTTTTTACTATCAACAATGGCAACAAAACTTAGAAGCTTCATGTGCATCTGGTCTAAATTAATAGCACTGTAGCTATCTTAACTATTCCACTTCTTTACCAAAAGATAAAAAATAACATTCATTATAATATTTTAAAAATCACTCATGGGAAACAACATTGTTTTAAAAAATTCCCAAAAAATCACATGACTGTGAAGTGGACAACAGAGTGAGGTAATGCTTTAGGTAGCACTGGATTAGAAACAACTTTTTTAAAGACGTTGCTGACTTCCTAATACAGGCTTAGCAGCCATAACAATATAATCAAATAATTAAATTGCATCCTAACAAATCCAGATTTGACCAATGTTAAAAAAGGAAACTGAACTTTACACTTCCTGGAATCAGCAACCACAACCACGAGGATGTTCAAAAGTATATTATATCTGCAAATCTCTTTAGGCTGACACCTTGGTAGTACAAAACCACACTAAAAAATATTTACCTTTAACAGAAAATGTTTAAAAAGAAACAGTACTATGGCTTCTAAAAAAATTAGGCATGTTTAGCATCAGCTTCTATCAGTTCCTGAATTCTACAGCTATTTCAAGTTAAAAGGTGATTTTTTTTAAAAAAAAAAAAAATTCTTCAGACTCAAGAATTATAAAAAGCCTTGCGTTCTTTTCTTTACAATATTTATCTTCATATTTTAAAGTAAACCTCACTTCAAATTTATAGGCACTTGAAGGTCAACATGCATCATTCGACAATGTAAGACACGCAATTCTGTATGCGCTGCATCTGTAATTCAACAGCAAGGCCTTCACAGGTTGAAACAAAGAGAACAAAGGAGGGAAAAAATCTGCAAGAAAAGTATTGCAAAAAATATGTAGATACCTAAAATAACTAAATACGTATATGGATGAATCAGCCTGGAACAGTTGTGCTAACCAGTCTACCGAGATCTGCCAGAAGGATTCTGCAGACTGCCAGGGTGCTCAGTATTTTAGATTAGAGTTGGCTCACTGAAGTGCTACATATTTAAGTATATTTGTAAACAAGTGTAGGTATGCCCAGAGGGGGCATGAGAGGAGAAAAGATAAAAAACAGGTACAGGGGAGGGGGGGAAGGGAACTATCAGTGGTCTAGTACAACTGGCAAACAATTTTTCTGGAGCCATACTTAACATTGCAACACACCTCCTGGCACTCGGTGCCAAAGAGAGGCTAGGAAGCTTTTGTAAGTGCCTGTAGCCACTTCAGATAACACAAAACTGAAGTGGGGTGGCAGGCACTGAGGCATATTTAGCTTCACCCCACCGAGAAGTGCTCCATCCCATCTCGCACCGGACGGCAGCGCCTCGTGGGACTAATGCACAGCACAATCTCCTGCTGGCAAATTATTTTTGCTGGACTTCTCAGAGATGTTCTAAAACTGGAACCAGAGCTAAGTCCTGAAAAAATTAAACCATCCAAAAGAGAGCAAGGATTTAGCTTACAGTAAAAAAAAAAAAGATGGTTGAAAAAGCCATTTACTTATATTCTTCATCTCTTAGGAAAAAAAAAAAAAAAGATTGTTTGAAAAACAATTTCTTGTCAATGAACTCAAAATTCCCAATAGATCATCCAGAATCAAAAATTATTTAGTTTATTCCTGGTAACACCTTGGTTACCAATTTAAGTGTCCCAACCAACAGGAAGACTTTCCTTTATGCAGTTTAAAGTGTTTTACTAGGTAGATCTCTTTTCAGATAGCCAGTCTTTTATCTGCTTTTCAGTGCTGCCTTTCACTGTCCTAACAACTGCAAGCATTAAAAGACTGGCCGAGTTAGCCAAGCAATGTATACTCAGATTATTTAATCATTCTTCACGAGAAAAAATTCTCTCTACTCCTCCAGTTATGTTTGTAGTAAGACTTAAGTGGTGAGCATTTAATTTCCTTCAGGTTTTTTGGTTGGTTGTTTTGGTTTTTTTTTAAAATTATTATTATTTTGAGGGGGTTCGTTTGTTTGGGTTTTGTGGGGGGCAGGGCTTCAGTTTTTTGGGTGTTTTTTTTATTTTTGTTTCTCCTCATTTGAGTCCCCGGAACATTGTAGACCAATATAAGGAGGAAAAGAGAACAAGTTTTAAACATGATGTAATTCCATAGGCAACACTACAATGACATGTCACAAAATAATCACATATTACACGCTGCTATCCAAATTGCAAATGCTCAAATCTAATTCCTTTCCACTTGTTGTACAAGAAAGGCAGAAATGCAGCAACAGCAGTCAGCACCCCGACAGACAGACAGACTTGTGGCCCACATTTCAGCTGAGACAATGGAAGTTCACAGGCAGAGTCACTCACTTGGGGTACAGCCAGACAAGGGAGAACAACTCTGGAGGAGATTTTTAGATCTGGCTTTAGTAAGAAGAGGAATGAACCAGAGTTGAGCACACAAGTGTTTGCAGAGGTGACCAGCACACTCCCGAACCTCACCCCGACAGCCAGGAGCAGCTACTCCTTGCACTCTGAACTGACTAGAGCATCAAGTGAAACAGAAACAAAAATAACTGATTCTGTCCTCACCCCCTCTTTCCAAGCTTGGATATGAATATCATGCATGCCATTTTTGTTCCAATGCTTTTGCAATCTTGCCCTATGTGACTGCCCTAAAGGGAAACATATTCCTGGCTAAAAGCAGAAAAAATGCAGTCTTTCCACATTGCAATCTTAAATTTAACTTCTTTGCCACTGGGTTAGTTTCAAAATATTCAGCATTAGCATACAGTAAACTTTTCAAATAGGAAAAGAACACCTTCTACATGAATCCATCTATGGGCCTGTACAGAAGAGCTCACTATGATAAAATAAACCTTTGTTTTCACTTTTTGGAGTATTTTTATTTCTAGTGTATTATCTACATAGCTTGGATCCTGGGCACTCCAAAGTGTGATTCAGAAGAGCTGTTTTACACGTCTAAACGTTTTTCAGCATTTAAAAACAAAATGTGACAATCCTTCATCTATTCCTAGGTCAGTTCTTCCCTCTTTTTAGCTAGGGAACTTAGAAAAAGAGGACTTGACAAGGCCTGGCTGCCTTGTGAAACCAAATAGGTATTGGTCAGCCACCTACTCCCATATTTTCTCGTAAAACTGTGTACAGATATCAGTTTTATTTGAGAGTTGGCATTTGTACAGCCTTACTTTGTCAAGCATTAAATTAAGATGAATGAAGAGTCTCAGGAGATGCATGTGCTCTTCCTTGGGGAATTTTACACAGCCTGTTCTAGAATTAGTAAATAAAGTTTCAGTGTATACTGAAATGTCAATAAAGGCTGAGTTATATTTGTAACTTGTTCAAATAGCACAAAGTTACTTACCCCTGATGCAATAAAACTGACATGAGCCAAAACTTTCTACAGAAAAAGGAGGGCTACAATGTGAGGATGTTGATACTGATTTAAATTACAAACATGCACTAGTAAAGACACATATGATGTTTCACCATATGCCAACCTGACATCAAAAAACAGTTTTCCATTTAGAACATAACATTTTTACTTAATTCAAGAATTCTAGATCAAATAATGAAAATCAGAAAGACGCTTCATTTTTCAGTATAACTTTGTGTGATAAGTGTTTGTAAGCTTTAAAGACTACCTGGATACAATGTAACATTGCAAAACTCTCTCTGTTCATGCCATGTCAACAGTATTTCCAGCAACAGTTTCCTAAAAATTAGGCTCATTTAAGGAACACATTTTCATCATACTTAAAACTACACTACAGGTTGAACAGATTAGATAAAAATGGGAAAATCTAATGCTGGAAAATGCTCAGACCATTTATGCAAACTTAAAAAAAAATATGTATCAAACTACTGTAAGAAGCAGGTACAGACCTGCAAAGAACCAGTCTTATCAGTTTGTATTTACATCCTACTTCTCTACAAAAGCTACCAACTTCTGTAATGCAGCTCCTTCATCACTGAACATTTACTCCCACTTTTCCTTCTGGTTTAACCAAAACAAGCTATGATAGCTTATCAAAGTATATTCAGATTAGCTGGCAAGCATGCATATAAGCAAACAGGGGGGAAAAAAAAGTACAGAAGCTTTCCTGCTTTGCATGAATTTGGCAACTAGAAAGTTGGCTAAAAAAGAAACTTAACAAAGGAATGGATATCTAGTAGGCACTGGAAACCATTTAGCATCACCTTTCCCAGCTAAGCACCCTTCAGTATTGTGACCATGGCTTGTTTTCCTCTGCCTTTCCTTTGACTTGTGATGCGTTTAAAACAAAGTCGAAAATATTTGCCTTCTGGGGTGGAGAGGAATTTAACATTAATCACTGTTTTCTTTGTAATACCTACCTTATGAGAAAAAATATTTTATCCAAGACTTCTACAGCAATTCTGCCATTTAATCTTTCACAGAGAATCTCAGAGATTCACCCCACGTCATTGTATCTGAAAATCTCATCAACAGAAGTTCTGTTTTACTGGCCATACCAAATCCATAGGAGTTTTCCATTTACTGATTTCATTAACTCACTGTCCATTATTTTTTCTCTGAACAGTATTTTCAGATTATCCAGCTACCAGAATGTTTTTTAACTAGAAACTTAATCTAATAAGAGGACCATTACCTAGAAGGCAACAAACTGTAAATATCAACTATTTCTGAATCAAGTAACGAATGTCCTAAACCACACTATAAATAGCCACAGCCATCTGTCTGATTTGCCCCTTCTCCTCATTACTTTAACTTGTCTATCTGCAAGGGCACAATCTTAGCACGTATCACGCCTGGTTTCGCCGCTTGCCTCTTGCCTCAGAAAAGCAGCAGCAAGGGGAAGATCACCACCCGTGACCCCCCCACCCCCCCGCCCCAAGAGCCAACATTACTAAATCTGACTTCCATAACTGACCTCGAGTGCTTATCTATTATTTCCATCACATTCCTTCTATTACAGTTGTTGGCTATCATTTAACCACATTTTATCTCATTTCATTAACTCTTCCCCTATCATTTGAGTGTTGGGGTTTTGTTTGTCTGTCTTTTTTTTTTTTTTGGCACTGCCTTACAAGGAATATTTTTAACAAAGTTGTGGAAAGACAAGTACATTGTATCTATCCATTATCCATCGTTTCCTTGCAAACCTTTTCAAAGGAAAATTTACCCAAGGTAAGTAATTTTAACGCAACCCTATCCGGTTCCACTACTCCAAAGCTGTCTGCTACTCTAAAGACTTTAAAAAGTTACCAGTTAGAAGAAGTGAAAACTTCAGTAGTGAAGAGGACAAGAGCTAGAAAATTCCTTAGCAAGATAAGGATGTCCATACATGCAGTTAAACACCAGCATTGCAGTTTGTTGCAATTTAGAACATTTGTGAAACGCAGAGAAATGCCAACGTCTCAAAAGCAGAATTTCTGCCAAAAAAATGTTTGTCAGAGGCAAAACTTTCCACAGCAACATATGCATTGCTTGCAAAGACAAAATTTCTAGTCAAAACAAAAGCCATACACACACTGGCACGCCTTCCAAGCTTAGCCAGCCCAGAGGCAGCAGAGCTCCACAGCTCTGTCACTTGCTGGGACGAGGAGGCACCAGCAGCGCTGGGCTCCGCGGGGGTCCCCGCCACGGAGGCAGAGTCCCCGTCGCTCCCTCCCAGGGTTGCCATCTGGCTACTTAAAGGGAAATGACATCCACAACGGAGCATCACCCCCAGCCGCCTGGAAGACGTGTGGCGAAGGCGAGACACCAAAACAGGAATCAGTTCAGACCCTGCCTGCCTCAAGCAAAGGAGCAAATTCCAGCGCCCTGCGCAGGAATTCAATCAAACCCTTCGCTGTCGTGGGATGGGCTCGTCCAATACACAATGACAACTCTGAAATGCCCCGGAAACACTCAGAAAAATGGAGAAAAAGAATCACAGTTTTAAACTTCTGTGGAACAGTAAACCCTTTCTTGTCGACTTTCCCAGGCAGCTGCCAGAAGAACCTAAGAATTGAAAAATTACTAATTTCTGAAAAGTTATGAAAATAAATGATAAAGCTATAGAACACAGTTTGTGAAGACTAAAATGAGGATTAATAATGTTAGTATTTATTCTAGTGAATTACTCCACAGGGCACTCAAAAAGTTAATTCTTAAGATAATTTTTCAAAATGTCAAAGTACCATAAAAAGACAGCAAGCATTAAAAGTGAAATATGCAATTAGCAGATAAGCATCTAGGGGAATGCTGTATGAATCTGTTTTCCCTCCTACTTGAAATAGACAACTTACTAATGATACTTACATAGATACAAATATTACAGTCTTTCACTCTGAATGAGGAAGATAAAAGAAGCAACGATAATTTATAAAGCTTCAAGAAAAATAACTAGAAAAATCAAAGTAGAGATGAGTATTGGCTAGGGAAAACAAAACACAGGCACTTGACAGGAAGAAAAACCTTGGAAGGCAGTACTAGATCAGTAACTAAGAAACAAGAATGAGGTGCTTGGCCTGCCAACTCACATACGGTATAAATTTGGGGGTGTGTCACCCTAACAAGCACCACATAAAGCCACAGAAAGGTCATCTATCTGAACATCATACTTAGTCCCACAGAATAAACTGCAAGGAAAAGAAAAAGAGAAAAGAAAAAGAAGCCCAGAGGGGAAGAAAAGGAAGATAAGAAATCACAGTGGGACAGACTCACAAGGTATTTTTGGAGAGCAGTTATAGCTTAACCAACAACTACAGAACAGAAGTATGGTAATACTTTGGCGGCATAAAGTATCTGAAGCATTTAAATATCATGGCAAGTAAGAAACTGGAGATAAAAGAGGCCTACCTCTGAGAAACAAGAAGAATTGCAGAAAAAAAATCCATGTGGTACTAAGAAAGTAAGAAGATGATACAAAAAAGGTCCCCTGCCACAGGGCCTCCCGAGAGAGTGGCTCATCTAACACTGAAATTCACATTGGACAGAAGACCAGTGAAGTACAACAAGGAGCACTACATTTTTCATCTCAAGAGAGAGAAACTGCCCGACCTCAAGTTTCCATTACTCTGTTAAACATTTCCAAATATATAGGCCAACAAAAGGCTTCAGAAGGAGCACGGAACCAGTTTTTAATTAACACTGCTCATCCTTCAGCTGTACATGTACGATTTCTAAAAGCCATCCTGTAGTGGCTGAACCCCTCACACAAACCTCTTGCACGGATCAAAGAACGTTCAATTGCATATGCTCACAGCAGACCCAAGGCCAGATCTCTACAGAGACAGCCAAGAATTTTGCACCTTTCTGAACATGACTCCGCAGCAGATAAATGCTGTTACAGCTTGTGGCAATGCCAGCCACAGCTAATTATAACTTTATTGAGATGTTTTGGCAAGGGCCAAAGGCGTTCAAGCAAACAACTTGTAATCAGGTTATATTCCCAGTTCTGCACTGATAATACGTGGCTTCGACAAGGAGTTTGCTTCTTCCCCTCCATCTCATCTGTAACCTCTAAGAAGCTTCTGAGGGATGCTTGGAGAGGGGAGGACGAATGACAGGCCAGCCTCTGTCAAAGAGCACTATAAACATGCAAAGTGCATCACTATCAGCACACTGGGCAAATTTCTTAGGGTCTCTAAAATCGATTTCTTTTTTTTTTTTCTTGAAAGCAATTTCTGAGATCTGTATTAGCTATGAAAAAATATCAGGCTATTTATGAGACTCCAGTGGACAGATGCCACACAATGTTCTTCTTATACATAGCTAAACTAGTTGCTTTCTGCATAGTATTTACTGGATGTAGAGAATAGAAACATGGTTCAATTACTAATGAATTTTTCATTGAATCATTAAAGCTAAAATAAAAATTACTCTCATGCTCATGACCACTTCCTTTAAATTCCTACAAGGGAATCCTCAGCAAAGAAGGTCACATCTACTAGTCTTCTCAGAGCAACTGTTTGATGTTACCATGGAAGGTACAATTAAAAAGATGACTTACCTACTAATTAGAAAAAAGAAAAAAAAACTACTAAACAAAACACAAACAACCCAAACAAAACCTTAAAAAAAAAAAAAAAAAGAGAAACTGAAAAACAGGTAAGTGGTTCTCATTGCTAAACAGACTCGAGTCTCGACAAATACAGTACTTTCAAGGAAAGATAATGGAGGGGGGGGGGGGGGGGAAAGAGGGAAGACAAAGAAAGGAGACCTAGAAAGGAAACCGAGTAGACACTTTAAAGTCTCCAGCATGGCCAACTGAGAACCAGTGGGCTGCTAGTAACATGGACAGCTTCCAGGTTTACAGCAGATATTTTCTTGTAAACCAAGCCAAAGCAGAACAACCATCAAGGCTGCACGATCGAGTTAATGTAATATGCCCATCACTGAAGTATCTGACAGAAATGGCTCTAGGCCAGCAGTTCACAAGTTCCTCAACCACAAGATGCCTATCAGTACTTTAAGGCATTAATAAGCGTCTCAACCCCGCCGCTTTTCAACTCAAAACACCACATAACATGCCCCAGAACACCAAA